ATGAATAGACATATCTCATATGAAGGTTTGAAAATGAGATCTGGGCAGATAGCTCACTCTGTAAAGTGAATATTGTGTAAATATGAGGACCTGAGTGTGACCCCACAAACCCTCGATTTAAAATACCTATAATGCCAGCACTGGGGAGGCAGAGAGAGGAGGATCTCTGGGTTTTTCTGACAAGATACCTGAATTGGTAGACTCAAATGTGGCAACAGACTCTGTCTCATAAAAGAAAGAACATGAGAGGGGTTGGAAGAAAAGGGAAAAAAAGAAATGATGTAATTCTATTTTAATCTCAAAAAATCCAAACAGTAATGTAGAGAATAAAAGAGAAAGACACTTGACATTGACCTCTGGCCTATATAAACACATACTTGCATTTGGATGTATACACACATGTGCACACAAAGAGACATGTACTCACAGACAGACAGACACACACACACACATGCACATGCACACAATGTATACAGATTACTAACAAATTTATTTTTAAATGTTTAACATCATTAGCCATCAGGAATATTAAAATCTAAACCACAACAGGTTATCTCAACCTAGTTAGAATAAATATTATCAAAAAGAAAAAATGTAACAAATGCGAGGAAGGAATGTGGCAGAAAGGGAATTTTATACATTATGATGGAAGTATAAATTAGAATTGACAACATAGAGGATAACAAGTTCCTCAAAACATATTACTATAACTGCTGTGTGACCCAACAGCATAACTTTTTGTTACAAATACAAAGAAAATGAAGTTAGAACATTACAAAGATGCCTTCATGCTCATGTCTATAGCTAAGATATAGATCAAACTAGCACTGGTGGATGGATCATGAAAACATAGTAATACCATTCACTCATGAAAAACAATGAATCCAATAATTTTCAACAAAGTGGGAGGAATCATTAAATTAGAAAAATATTTCTGAGCACTGAAAAGTTTTCTGCACTGACTCCTAAGGGACCAATTATTTCCTTACTCTGAAAACTTTGTTAGGAACCAGAGCAATTATCTCCTTCTAAAGAACACATATGTTAGTTTTTATTAATATATCAGGGCACAAATCACTTGGATTTTTCTCTTGAGAGATTCTTCTATAGTTCTTTCCAACTTGCTCTAGTTAACTTTCTGTTGCTGTGATAAACACTATCACCATGAGCATCTTGGGAAAGAAAGAGTTTGCTTTCATTTCCAGCTGATAGTCCAACACCAAAAGAAGCCAAGACAGGAGCTCAAAGCAGGAACCTGGGGACAGGAACTGAAAAAGAGATCTTTGAGGAGCTTCCCTCTGGCTTGCTTAGCTACTTTTTTAATGCAGTCTAGGCCCACCTGCCTAGGGAGAGCATCCCATCCCATACCCCCCATCTCTGGCAGTGAACTGGAGCATCCTACATCAATTAACAATTAATAAAATGTCCACAGGCCAGTCTGATGGAGGTGACTCTTTAATTGTAGTCCCAGATGTGTCAAGTAGACAACCAAGATGAGCCATCTAACTCCTCTTAATCATACCTGTCATTGCCTTTACTCGCCTCTCAATCATATCCTTCATCCCATCACACATCTCTCAATCATACCCCTCACTGCCATCACACACCTCTTAATCCATCCCTTCTTATGTATCAAGCACACTAACTTCTATCTTGGTCTCCTATTCTGAAGTAATAAGCTTTGTGACTTTGGGCTTTTGAAAATTTTCTTTAGGACAGACAATTCTCCCATTATCATACATCACATAGAAACAACTCTGCCTCGTAGCTAACATAATACAAAGGTTATTAAGGAAGCTGTGTCTTATACTGTCCTAAACAGATTCTTGTTGAAGAGTGGTTATGAAGTGTCCCCCCTGCCCCCACCTTTTTTGGTATCCTTTTTCTTAGTGGTGTTCTTCCAGATCCTGTTTTCTGAAGATAAGTTCTGAGAGATAGAGCCTCAGGAGTCTTGGTTCAAGCTTTGTGATACTACTAGGTAAAGCAGACCCAACTGTCTACTACCAATTGTACTACCCAATTGTCAGCTTTCCTAACCTCATTGGCATTGTAGGGAAGAGTGTAAAACTAGGGGGAACTGAACTTACGAGAATGATTGTTAGATTCATTGGTCCCTTGCAAGTTGTGGCAATCCTCTTGCCTGCTGCCGTGCTCTATGCCATGATGGTCATGGACTCCTATCCCTCTGGAACTGTAAGCCCCAAATAATATTTTCCTTTTATAAGTTGCCTTGATCATGGTGATTTATCGCAACAATATAAAAGTTAACTAATACACTTCTCAAGATGGGGATCACACATGACCCTTTGGGGGACATTAAGGATCATAACTGCAATGGTCTACAACAAGGATCATCTTTAATGATTTAATCTTTCATTAGACAAATCTAAAATACAAGTTTCATATATTCTGCAAGTTAGTTTCTCAATTGTAGGCTATGAATTAAACCATAGTATACTAAATAATAGATTTTACCTATCTCTAATGAAAGGGGAAGACTTCAGAATAAATGGTATGACTTGGGAATATGCAAATGATAAGGAAATATGTGTTAATATATAGGATAAAATAAGAATTGTTTACTGAGAACAAACAGATCTATAGACAGCTTTCTGAAGAAACCTTCTAAAAGTCTAAGGTCTAAACACAGAATAAATTGAAGACAAATAGAATCATAATATATATCAATAATCTCGATCCATGGGGGAAAAGTACCAGAAAAGAAGTCTGCTGTGGTGACTTATGTAATGATGAAAGGAGACCAAGCACCAAACACTTGAAACTCTTGACAGACAAAGTTAAAATGTGGGGTTATAAATTAAAAAGCTAAAGAAATAACTATATACAACATGGGAGAGGCACACGGCTTCTTCTATCTGTCTATCTGGAGAAATCTCTCTACACTGCTTATATCCAGGGCTGTTTTCCAACATCATTGAGTGATATTGTCTGCTGACCCTGGTAGACATCCCTGAAGAAGCAAATGGGCTGAGGGCTCCAACTGCTGATAATCTTCTGTACCCCATAAAGAAAGAGCTAGTCCAACGTGAAATATTGGATGGTTAGAAATACAGTCTAAAAGTTAGTCAAGTGATAAACTTCCTGAAAGTAAAGTAGATAGGTACACACACAGACACACACACACACACACACACACACACACACACACACACACACACACCAGATTGACTGATACTTGTTATATTAAAGAGTGAGAAGTGTTGCAGAAAGAGATCCATTCTCAAGTATACTCAAGTCCAGAAGACAAGCAGATGTAAGCATGTCTAATGATTGAAGAATTGGCAGTCCAATCAGTATGAGAGAGCTTATAATTAAAAAGCATGATTTACTCTAAAGTGACAATGGACGAAATCTATGAGACTAGAGAAAAATTAAACAGAAGATTTTAGCATGCAGACAGAACACTGATGGGTTATTGGGGAAAACTTCTCAGGAAGATAAGAGGTTATATCTACCTCAGTTGGGTAAAAAACATACAATCTATTTGGCATATGATAGGCAAAGATGGTCACATTAGAAACTGAAACTAGGCAGTAAAATGGAATAGGTGTAATAGGCAAAGAACTGAGCTCTTGGTCAGGTTGGGGCTGATCACACACACCTGGTGTCCTAGCACTTGAGACACAGAGACAGAAAAGTCACCCTTGTGAGAACAGGTTACATAGACCCTGACCCCAAAACAGACAGAGGGATCCCTTCTAGCCTATCTCCATTCCTTTGTGTCAGCTGTCAATCCCAAGAAACATTTCCTACCAGGGACCTCCCCTGGCTGTACCAGGTTGGGACTCAGATCAGTGCCTCACTCAGTCACCATCAGAGAAGCTTCTTCTTGCAGTAGATGAGAACGAACACAGAGACCCACAACAAAACAATGTACACAGAGTGAGAGACCTTGAAGCACTCAGTCCTAAATGGACTAAAATTTCATCAAGCCCCTCCCCTCAAGGCTCAGGGGGCCCTGCAGAAGAGGAAGTGGAAGGATTCTAAGAGCCAGAGAGGATGGATGGCTCCAAGGAAAGTGTCTTCCAGACACAACAGGACTGATGCACGTATGAACTCACAAAGACTATAGCAGCACACACAAGGCCAGGGTCCCTGTCATGGATTCCCATCTCTAACCAAGGAGCTAGGTGCAATTGACAACCACTGGCAAAAGAAAAGTTAGTTTTCTCCAGTGGAGTCTTACTGGGTATGTTAATCACACTTCTGGGTAGGTCCTCTGTCCAGGAGTAGTTGGCCAAGAGAAAATGAATTCATGATATTTTTAATAGACTTTTTGTCTCATTTTACTTTTAGAGGCATTTTTTGTCTTATTGGTCTTTTACTTCTATGTTTTTGTTTCCATTTTTGTGGGGAGGGAGAGGTTTGTGTCAGGTATTTCTTGCTTTTGGCTTTGGTCTTGTTTGTTTTTTAAAGTGAGAGAAAAAATATGAAGTTGGGTGGGTAGGATCCAGGAGGAATTAAAGGAGGGGAAAACATGATCAAGATATAGTGTATGAAAATATTTTTCAATTTAAAAAAGAAGAAAATAGGAGGGAAAGGAATGGGGCAGGGACTCAGGCATTTGAAGAGGGAGAAGACACTTAGCTCTGTATCTAGGATTCACAAAGTGTTCAAGGACTATGACCCCATAGTGTTGATGTTCTTTTTCTTGTGAGTTCGTGCTCCCTGGTATCTAAAGTTGACTGTGGCCATGATGTTAGTTGAAAAATCATTTCCTTATTTCACTATGTAAAAGTCACTTAGAAGAGTCTGTCTTCTGAATTGTCATCAATACATTAGATTTTAGATTCAATGTCATCTAGAAGGTATACCATTTTCCAAGGGTCAAAGATAATTAACTGTTCCATGTAAGCTTTCATTTCTTCATTTTCTTAGCTCAGTGATGGTGATTGGGACATAAAGACCCAGCTGGTGATGATGACTGAGTGACAAAACAGTGACCAGATGTAACAAAGATGGGAGGGGCTAAGGGAAGCATTAAGTGACTCTTAGAGGGTTCAGAGTAAACCATTAGGGACATGCTCTCCCTTAGCCAAGGTAGAGAATCCTGTTCCTCACAGCTCTGTCCTCAGAACCTCTGCAAGATAAGTCTTGAGCCTGAAGCTTCTCTTTACAGACAGTTGAACTAACTATAGTCCAAGGAGCTTTTAGGAAAATAGCACAGAGGAGGATGTGGACTCAGAAGTCTACCAAACCTTGCCTGAAGTCTCAATAGAAGCATCGTCTCCTGCTTCTCCAGTCTTCTTACCTGGAGGCATCTCCACCTGCTCCTTATGCCTAGAGCTCTTTCCTGATCCCACCAACTGCCGCTACCTACCCATATCTGCTGGGTCTGGTAGACATTGCAGAAGAAACAAGTGAACAGGGAATTCTAGCCTCTGCTGATCTCTTTAAACCTCACAAGGAAAGAGCCGGACCATCATGAAACTAATTTTTTACTTGACCATCCTAGCTGGTATGTATTTAAGACTTTCAACTCCGTCTATTAAAGTGTGGGTTAATGTAGAATGGGGTGACTAGTGCGCAGACGCATCAAGAAATACTATGAGTAGAATTGGGTCTCCCCAATCATATACCCTATCCAAAGGCTCAGCACAGACAGTGTTAAGATAAGTGTTAAGCTTTGGGATAGGGTATGGGACATACTTGCCTTGGAGAATCATCAACAATAAATGTTCCCCCAAGTTATTGTGAAATATGGGCTGCATTACCCTCTGGGAAAGTCCTAATCTGGTCACAAGAACAGAGAATCCAGTTTGACTTCTGGTCTCCCCCTAACTCTGGAATGCAGAGGGAATGGTAAAGGTGGGAACAAAAGATTTGATACTATGGTCCCAGTTCTGCAGCCTCTGCTTCCATGAAGTCTAGATTGAAGAATTTCCCACACTCCCTAATCGTCAGGGCCATGTCACATACTAGCTGGGTTGAGACTGGGCAAGCTAATTAGCCTAGCACCTAATATGGAGCTCAAAATCTCTTGCCTTTATTAATAACCTATCCTCTCTGCTTTGAAGTTTTTAAGTATGGTCACACAGAGGTGTGATGAGGAATAGGCCCAGATATGCGAGGGTCAGCAGAAGTACCAGTAACAGCCAAGGAAAGAGCATTAGACTCAGCCTTCCTCTCTCTTATACTCGACTACTATTTTTTTTACAATATTTCATTAAAAATGTTTGTGTTAGGAAACTTTAAAGGTAGAAAAAATCATTTATAATTGCACCTCTCAGCTAACACATACTGAACTTACTTCAAGTTATTTTCTGCATTTAATTTGCTTACTTGGGGTTTTATTTTCAGACAACTGAATTGTAACATATGTATATGTAACATATGTATATCTCATTTTTTATAAACAAACTGCCTTCAGGTGAGATGTCCAGAAACATCTTTTTTTAAGATTTATTTATTTATTATGTATACAGTGTTCTGGCATGTATTCCTACACACCAGAACAGGGCACCAAATCTCATTACACCACCATGTGGTTGCTGGGAATTGAACTCAAGACCTCTGGGAGAGCAGCCAGTGTTGTTAACCTCTGAGCTATCTCTCCAGCCCCTGTATATCTAATTTTTAGCTTAAATGTCACTGAGATTATTTTTGATGTGTTCTACTTGCTTAAGTGTTTCTTTATCTCAATATCAAACAATATTTATTAGATATTTGTCCTTCCAATGTTCAACTATTATTAGTATTGCTAAAAATGAATACTCTTATTAATCATCTTTGCCTACAGCTGATTACGTTTTTAAAATGGATTCTTATTTTGGGAATTCTCAGGCTACAAGTTATGAACAAGTTACAATTCTTAATGCTTATTTCTAAATTGCTGCCCAAGAAAATAAAATCAATTTATAAGCAGTAAATGTATCTTTCTTATTATACCCTTTATTAGAATAAATATTACCAATATTATCATTACTATAAGTCTTATATAAAGTGAGTCACTTTAATTTACATCTTTATTAGAAAAATTATCTACAGTCAATTGGTTACTCCTCTGAAATTATACACATCCCTTTTCTGCTGGGAAGGTGTGAAGGTCTCATTTACTCTGACATTTACATGTTATTTTTTTCTCAGGGACAGCTTTATTCACTCACTCTGTGCAGAAAGAGGACCATGCTCCATATATAGTCTACCTCAAGTCTAACTTCAACCCCTGTGTGGGTGTCCTCATCAAGCCCAGCTGGGTACTGGCGCCATCTCACTGCTATTTACCGTGAGTATTGGGTGTCTCCTCCTCAAATGAGTTCTGCTCGTTCTAGATCAGTGAGTATAACACGAATCTTAAAGGTCTTAATAAATAAAAAACTCAGAGCCAGATATAGGGGTGAAAGCCTTAGAGATCAGGAAAATAGTGAGAGCCACCAACCAACCTTACCTCACCAGCTCTGCAACTTCCAAAATGCCACAACTTCCTGTCTACCCGTGCCTTTATTGTTCTGCCCTCTCATTGGCTCTTAGCCCAGCTACCTCACTTCCTTGTCACTGCCTGTCTGTACAGACCTCCAGGTCTCTATGGTTGGTACTGGGATTAAAAGCATGTGTCACCACACCTTGGCTCTGTTCCCTTGTGTGGACTTGAACACACAGAGACCCTGCCTGCCAAATGATCGGATTAAGGGCGTGTGCTACCACTGCCTGATTTTTGTGTTTACTTAAAACGGCTTGCTATTTCCTCTGATCTCCAGGCAAACTTTATTAACATACAAATAAAATATCATGACATTTCAGCACAAATAAAATATCACCAGAGATGAGTCTCAAGTAGGGATAACTTTCTCCTAGGATATGTTTAGAAAAGTCTGAAGGTATTTTGGGTTTTCCCAATCAGAGAGAAGTTCTACCAACACACCAGTGCTTCTAGTGTGAAGCACTCAAGCAAGATGCTGCTAAAATTCTTAGAGAATACATGTCACCACCTAAGACCCTGCTTCATGCTATCCTTCCCTTGATGCCCCATTAGTATTTTTTTACTGGAAATAATTACATTTAATCAATTAGAGGCTCAGCAGGTGACTCAAATTTGTAAACTGAGTAAATTGAAAAGAGATTTTTTTTTTAAGTAACTAATTGTAAAGAGATGGTTCATGTCCCACAGAAGAGGCATTAAGGAGAAACAGTGGCCATCCTTGTGCCTAAGAGGAAAGCATGTTTCAATAGAAGAAGAGCGATCCATGATAGGAACAGTAACCTTTGCCAAAAGACAGAAAAGGTCTGTGACAATGCTTCTGGGGAGGATCTGGGAAGACAAATACTTCAATAACACCCTTCTCCCTCCAAATACTTTCCTACATTTCCTATTGACCAGAAGCCAGAGAAGGAAACTCGTTGATTAAAGACACATCACCTTCCAAATCTTCAAAAAGGGGGAAAAAGAAGATTGTTGGTGGGCTTGTGATCCACCCCTCTGTTGTTTCATTCTCTGTGTCCACTAAAGTAGAAATTATCTACTTGGATAAATGAGGCCTGAAGAGAATCTGATAATAACTTTTACATCCATTATTTTCTTTTCCAAGGCACTATATTGGAAAACAGTAGTTAAAGACTCCACTGTTTACTCTGACCACATGTAAATTACTACGATGTGTGCCCAGTACTTCATTTGTAAAATGGTAATGAAAATGAACATAAGATACAGATTTATCGTGAGTAAAGGGTAACCCAGATACAGCACTTGTCACAGTATCTTGCAGACTGTATGTAGCATCTAATACCCAAAATAATGATAGTGATAAGTGATGAGATGGTCATGATGGTAGTGGTGGTGACAGCAAGTAACTGATTCCTTCCAACCCTTTCTTCCCCCAGAAATCTGAGGGTGATGTTGGGAAATCTCAAAAGCAGAATCCGAGATGGGACAGAGCAGACAATTCAACCTGTCCAGATTATCCGCTACTGGAACTACAGCCACAGTGCCCCACAGGATGACCTCATGCTTATTAAATTAGCTAAGCCTGCCACCTTCAACCACAAAGTCCAGGTCCTTCCCATCGCCACTACCAATGTCCGGCCAGGCACTGTCTGTACACTTTCAGGTTTGGACTGGAGTGAGAACAACATTGGTAAGTGCACCTTCCACAGCAAGTCAAGCCAACAGTTTCACCCAAGGAACACACGTACCCTCAGAGCTATGAGATAAGATGGAGTAGACGATGGCTCGGGACCAATGCGTGAAGCTGTAGGAGTAGTCTAGAAAAGGAACCTGTCTAGAAGTCCAGTACTTCTCTATAGTCAGGGTTTCGATGGACTCTCCACTGCCTCTGCAGGGCTTTGGCGGCTGGATCCTATGGGCCATCTGAGTGCACAAAGACCTTCCTGCCACAGACACAATTACATTGAGGAGGCAATGGCTCTCCTTCCCCATGTTCGTTTCACATGTAAAGGAAATCACAGAGAACCTGAATCAGATCATTTGTAGATACAGAGTAGAAAGAACGTCTCATTCCACAGCGCATAAGATGATTTCACATTGGTAAAAGGCTACTCTGTGCCCCTGCAACTTCACTTGTAAAATGAGGCTAATCAGCAGGGCTAACTCTCATTAATGCATAACTTTGTTTGTTTGTTTGTTTGTTTTTTCCTCTTGCTCCTTCTTTACTCTCTTTATGCATAATCAAAATAATATCCGCTGAAGTACAGGAGGTGAGGATTAGGGAGCTAAGTCTTGAGCTAAGCCAGATGTTTTTTCCCTCAGGCAGGCACCCCGACTTAAGGCAGAATCTGGAGGCTCCAGTGATGACTGACAAAGACTGCCAGAAAACTCAACAAGGAAGCAGCCACAGAAACTCCTTATGTGTCAAATTTGTGAAAACCTTCAGCCGAATTTTTGGGGTAATCTTTTTGTCTATGTTCAGATTTCAGTTGCTTGTATGTGTCTAGTTAACTATTTAGCTATTATACATTTTAATTGCCAAATAATTTTTGAGAATTTGGTAAGGTTATTTGCAATTATACCTGCATTTTTTTCCATCATAGTCTTCCTACAAAGAATCTTTATTTATTAAAGAGCATCATATAGCCCTGGTTAATAACATATTGCTAGTGTTCATTATCATAGCTGCAAAGAAAAGCTATGAGGACAAGCATTGTTTTAAATTTTTAATTTTTTTTCTCTCTTCCTCCCTCCCTTCTTCCCCTCCCATCTCTGGCAGGAGGTGGCTGTGGCTACTGTCATTTGTAAAGGCAAGCTCCAGGGAATTGAAGTTGGACACTTCATGGGAGGGGACGTTGGCATCTATACCAATGTTTACACCTATATACCATGGATTGAGAAAAACATTAAGGAAAGGGTGAAATGATGCCCAGCTTTTCCCTCTGCATCTCATTGTCTCTGCCATTGACTGAAGGAGTTCACATGTCCCCTAAACTCAAATAAACTCTCCAAGCAGAAAGATTGGGATGCAGCACACTGGGAGCCTGTGTCTCATTTGCGTCAATGTCCACCCACATCAGGATGAGAAGAAATGATCTGTTGTTACATCGTTCTGGGTTCTGCTCTCTATCATATGTAATGTTTGCAACAAACTTTTGAAGTTACCTTTATCCCCCTTTATAAATCAAGTTTTGAGACTAAAACATCGCCCTTAGCTAGTAGATATCAAAACTTGGAATGGAATGTGAAACATCAGGCTTTAAACCTTGTGCTTTTAGCACAAATATATGGAGCAATCCATTGCGCTGCTGTGGGCTTGGGGGCGATTCATAAAAAAAGGGTGGCACAGTAGGAAAACTAAGGACAGTTCATTAAATTCAGAGAAAAGAGAAACTATACCTGAGGGAAGTTTCAAGACAGGCTTGACAGCTTGAAATCTTGGCAGCTACCCACATAAGGCAAATGAATACATGAAGCTGGAAAGGTATGCTTTCTAGGGGAAAAGCCAGAAATGGGTCGGTTCAAGCAGGGTCTATAAGCATCTACCCAAGGAGATGGGATGTTTAATCCCATCTTCAGGGTTTATAAATATACGACTCATTATAGATCAGTCATTCCATTCCTTTCTTTATCATGTCTTCAGGGGTGCCATTTTTCCCCCACCATTTGGCTTACACTAGTCTTCTTTAGCAGGTAAAGCAGAACCTTGTCATTAGTGAAGGAGGGGTGTCATATCAAAGGAGGCTCCCTGTTTTGTCCAGACATAGGAATTATATATTGTCTATATCAAAGTGTGATACAGATAGACCAACCTATATCATATGTCATATAGTTGTATGATAGGCCAACCCTGCCATTAGCAGCAGAGAATGTTATCCACAAACACCAGATAATGGTTGATTCCACACTGATATTGACATGTCCCAGAAGGTATGAAGGAAGCAAAGAGATGTACAACAGAAGCCCTTTGCCCTTTCCCTACCTTCCTGACTACCATCTCCTCTCAGCACCACAATGGATAGTGGCTGTTTCTCTGCTACCTTGTCATTCAAAGGGCTTCAAGTGGCTAAGATCTCAAGTACTAGAATAAATCATCCTAAACCCCGCTCATCTCACAGATGTACTGATACAGAATGCTGCAGAGGAAGAGCCCATAGGAAGAGTGAGAAGTAAACAGTGAAACTCTAGGCCAGTATCAACAACTGTAAGTGAGAGATCCTGGCCATTCAACAGCAAGGTAAAGATGTCATCCAGATGTAAGGAGGATGGTAACTCAGGGCAGCTGCAGGACAAGAGAATCAGAAGACTGAGATGAGGCAACGGGCAAAAACTATGCTAAGCCAAAAATCCTGACCATGGCCTTTGCCAAGGCAGAAAAGCAGGTCCCAGTCTTCTGACTGAGAAACTAGCATGGCATTGTTATACATTGAATGGCTTTGTGCCCTCAAAATCATATGTTGAAATTTAATTTCCCCAAGTGATTCCCCAAGTGATTGGGGAAATTTAATTTCCCCAAGCAGCATCTTAGCAGATGATTAAGCTATAAGGGTGGAGACTCAGTGAATCATACAGAGGTCCTCCTCAAAGACAATCCAGGAAGCTTCTTTTGACCCTTCTACCTTGTGAAGTTATGGCAAGAAGATATCAAATTTCTAGACATAAAATTTCATAACAAGCCAGACAACCAAGTCCGAAGTTTCCTGTCATCGTCGTGTACCTCTGACAGAAAGCTGGCATAGGGCAGGAGGCAGCATTATACACTCCTCCAGGGTAAGAGCTTAGGAAAAGACATAGTTACAGTAGTGCACAGCCAGAGTCCAGTTCATTTGCAAAGCTCATGACAAGTTCAATCTAATATTTTCACTATGGATCTACCGGTCCAACTAGTTTTGACTTACAGTTGGTTTTACTGCCAGGTGCAAATATTGTTTAGAGGCACCATATCCCTATGGTACAATGGTACAATCTCATGGGGTGTTTTGTACAAGAACAGACCATTAGATTGCCAACTCCATGACATGTATTCTGAAACGCTCAGGAAGCAATTATTTCGATTGATTGTGTTATCTTTTTGTGGGATTTATAAAAACATCATCTTCAAATTAAGAGAGTTTTGACTTCTTCCTTTATAATCTATATGCCTTTTTATATATGTTTTTCTGACCTCATCACCCAAGCTACAGCTTCCAGTCCAATGTTGAAGTGGGAAGACTAGATATCATTACCTCATCCCTGACCTTAGGGGAAAATGATCCAGTCTGCCACCATTATGTGCATTTTTAAAATGCACTGACTTGAAGTTCCATCTCATCCTTAGTTCACAGAAGTGTTTTTTAATCACAAAAGAATATTGAATCTTGTCAAATGCTTTGTTCTCAACTGCTGAGATGGTCATGAGGATGTTCTGTTAATATGATGTACTACCTTTAGAGACTTTCAAATGGAAATGGCCTTATATCACCAGATGAAGTATTACTGTGTGTGGTGTCTGGTCCTTATACATGTTGCTGAATTCAATTTCCTAGTATTCTGTTGACTGTTTTTCTATCTGTATTCATGTGCATTGTTGATCTGTAGTTTTGCTTTGTTTTCTTTTGTTTTACAATGTCTGATTTTTTTATAAGGAGGAAATTGACCTCATTGAATGAATGGGAAAGTTTTCCTTCCTCTTTTACTTCTTAAATGAATTTTAAAAAAAGGTTATTAATCTTATCAACATTTGGCAAAATCACCAAGAAATCCAACTTATCTTAAATTTTTCTTTGAGGAAATTTATCATTATTATAAATTTATTCTATTTAACAGATCTAGTCATACTTTCTGTTTCTCTTGGGGTTTTGTTTGTTGGCTTGTTTTGTTTTTTAACTATGTTGCTGGGAGGAATATTAGTTATGTTAATTTTTCATTATAAAATTGAAAACACCTGAAAGAATTATTTTAAAGGAGAAAAGATTTATTTTTGGAGGTTTCAATCCGTGGTCAGTGGGCCCATTGCTGTGGGCCTGAGGTAAAACTAAAATATCATGGCGGAAAGATATGGTGGGGGGAAGCTGCTTACCTTGTGGCCACTGGAAAGGCCTGGACCAAGATAAAATCACCAAGAACACATCATCAGTAATGTACTTCAAAGTGACCAGAACCTTCCAATAAAGCCTTCAAATTATAAATCCACTATTGATAAGGGCAAAGCCCTCGTGGCCCAGGCACTTTCTAAACACCTCACCCCTCACATTGCACTAAGGAACATGTCTTTAATATATCAACCTCCTGTAAGAACAAAGACAGAGCCGCACGGTGGTAGCACATACCTTTAATCCCAACACTCAGGAGGCAGAGGCAGGTGGATCTCTGTGAGTTTGAGGCCAGCCTGGTCTACAGAGAGAGTTCCAGAACAGGCTCCAAAGCTACACAGAGAAATCCTCTTTCGAAAAACAAAGGAAGAAGGAGGGAGGGAAATGGGGGGGAAGGGGGGAGGAGGAGAGAGAAAGAGGGAGGGAGAGAGGGAGGGAGGGGGGAAGAAAGAAAGAGAAAGAAAGAAGGAAGGAAGGAAGAGAAAGAAAGAAGAAAAAGAAAGAAAGGAAGGAAGGAAGGAGGGAGGGAGGGAGGAAGGAAGGAAGGAAGGAAGGAAGGAAGGAAGGAAGGAAGGAAGT